CGGTTTTTTCCACATTAACAGTAATAATAAAAATAATAAACCCAACTATATTACTCAGTCGCTATTCTCTATCAAATTCTATTTCTCCAGCCTTAAAACATATGGAATTCAGCAGTACTGAATTTCCTTCGGTTTGCACAGTCCTTTACTTTGTATGTTATTTTTCGGTCTACCTACGTGCGCAAATTACCACCGCACATATACCAGAACCCTGATATTCCTGCTTGAAATGATTAATTTTGACTGGGCTTCCATGACCCTTTCTTTTCTTTCTATTTCTTGAGCACGTTGTTTATTTTGTAAAAAAAAAACCATTTTTTTCGGTCGATAAACATGATTTTTTTTTTTTTTTTTTGCAAAAGAGCATTATGCTTTTCGGCCAAATGGCCTTTCATTTTGTGAAACTTACATTTCGCGTCATTTTATGCTCAGATCCATAGGTTTTTCAAGTAAATCAGTAAATTCTTGATTTTTTCAACTTTTTCCATCTTTGAATTATAGGCGCTGACTGCTGGCGTAGTTCCATCATTCGTGGATATTGTGCTAAATTTTGCGACCACATCGATTTCGAATGACAATATTATTGATCAACTTAAAGGTAACGGTTACAGGTAAAAAGTATTAACTGGTTTGGAGTTTTTGACTTTATTCCCCAGCCCGAATTCTCCCCCTAAATCAAAGGAACGGCTCAAAAAATAGTTCGACACAGATGAAATAAAGGGATGTTTTGCCGACCCTATGCAAAACTTCCGTCATTTCCGACCTGCCTGTTATGGTATGTGGCGATTTTGCATCGAGGAGCACACATTAGATGAATAAACACATATTTGCGTTGAAAATCACAGTGAAAAGTGGACATTCGAGCTATTTTGCTATGGTAAAATTCTTAATTTCTTATAATGGTGCTGCGTTGAGAGTCGAGAATCCGACTCCGCCACTGTGAGCCAATCATTTCTCTCTACGATTCGTCCATTCGTTTTGATGGTAAATTGGTACTGGTGCAAACCAAAGAGCTGAAATCGCCATTAGCTTACTTCTAAGAAACCCTAAAAAAAAGAACGATCAGCAACCTTGTTAATGCTATTATAAGGTGCTATCTCTCGGTCCATTTCCGAGACTTTCCGTCTTTTATGGCGAGTGAACAGGAAGGGACTTTACCTTTTAATCGATCGCACTGCGTAAACAGTTTTTTTTTTTTTTCAAATAATTCAGGCTAACTGCACAAAAAACCAGAAAAGTTCTCAGAAATTCTTGAAAAAGAACGATCTGCAACCCCGTTATTGCTGTTAACAAGTACTATTTCTGGGTCTTTTTCCGAGACTTTCCGCCTTCCACGAAGAGTGAACACGAAGGGACTTTACCTTTTAAATCAATTATTAGCATAGGCTAGGTTTTTTTTCCTTTAGCTGGGTCAGGCTAACTTCACAAAAGTCAGATAGTTTTCATAAATCTATTAGCTATATTATTATTATCACTAACTTGGAGTGTTACTCTTACATTTCTTATACGTAGTTTGCCACAACTGACTTTCATCTCACTTCCATCCAACAAAAAATTGGGTTGCCCACAAGAGAAATTTTTTTCGGGGAAAAATAATCTTCGTTTTTGGATAATTTCGTTTATACAGTACTTTCGTTTATGGTAATTTCTATTAACGTACAGGTTGACATTTTGTGGCGACGAGACCTGGTTGCAGTTATTCCCTGGCCGTTTCGATAATCACTCGGTGGGTACCACGTCGTTCTACGTCAATGATTATAAAGAGGTATTTTGTTCTTTTAAAAAAAATATTTAATTTTTTAGTGAATTGCTGCTTATTTTTGCTGTGTTTTTTTTTGTAGCGAATTACGTATTTTAATTGAACATCAGATCAGTCACCTGGAGATGTCCACTGTTTTTTGGGATTTAAGAAAAAAGCAGTAATGGTAGAACTGTGAGGCTGTAAAATCTGGGAAAGACGTTGGTTTTTCATTTTTTTTTTTTTTTTTTTTTTTTTTTT